GCTCACAAGAGCAAACAGACAAAAGTCACGAAACACAAATCGGAGGAGTCGAAGTCAAAGGTCATCTGTCCACCAAACAAGATGAACGCGGATCGAAGTCCCAACCAATAGGATTGCTCGTCTCCAAGGAGAAGCACGGCGGTATAAAAAACGCACTGGCACCGAGGCTTCTCTACGCCACTAAGCGCTGCGTAACTACACACTGATGATGTCACCTACAGTGGTGACGAAACGTCTGCAACGAAATTGCCAAGAACAGCGAGCAGTTCAACTGCCAGCTAAGCATCATCCCCAACAGTACATTAGCAGTCTGAAGTGATGCTTCACTACCGTACAACCACATTGAGCTACAGAACAAAAATAATAACAGGGAGAGAGGGGACCTAGCGTAGAACATTAATGCCCTACGCCAACATTCAGGGTCAAGCGCCTTCATCATGTGAACAACAAACCTACACAAATAGTTGGGCATCGCGCAGAAAGGTGGAGACTGCGAGCCACGTCGTGTAGTATCAGAAGCGAACCCCGTGGACTGCAGCCTGTAAGGCGAGACGGACTAATGATATACAGTTTATGTGTCCATTATTTCATCTCCCGCTGCCATGTCAACTGATTTGCACCACGAGACCTCCGCCACCATACATCCAGCTGACAAAACGACGCCCAGCTCAGCAGGCGATCACCGCGTATACCTAGTACGTGCTTAAGTCAAAACAACTTAGTCAGTGCCATGTAGTTCCAAGGAACTAACCTGAGTATCACTTCATAGTACTCAGCTACACACATCTTCGTTGCATACACACTGATGCCACCCGACACCAGCAATGTTTCACAGACAGCGGTGATCAGAAACTAGAAGACGCCTCAGATCCCCAGATCAGAGGCCGTTTCACTCCCATAGAGTAGGACAGCACACAGTATGGCCATGTAAACAATGCCTTTCAGATGGAGGTAAACTCCTTTCTGCCTCCCAAGATGTCGTAGGTTCAAAAAGGCAGTTTAGGCTTCAGTAATAGTGAAGTGACTTCAGCTAATATGCGCCCACCGTTGTTGATGCAGTTGCCAAGGTAAATAAATTGACCAACCACCTAGAGTTCCTCGCTATTAAGGGTTAAGGGGTCAAAAGACGGCTAGTGGGCCCACAGAAAAGTGTTTCACTATGAAGGTGCGAAGCGTATACCAAATAATAGGACCACTAAAGAGGCTATTCAGGGTTGACTGGGCCGCCAAAACGCAAGACCATATCGTTTGTATACTTAAGATCGATTGGCGTTTCACCAGGCAGCCCCTCTACACCTGCATAGATTATGAAAGAGAACGCTCCATTATGGAGTACAGGATGGATTTGAACAAAAATGGGGAAATTGGACAGCCCTGAGGAGCGTCACTTGTTGCCAGAAAGATATATGATAAATCACCATAGACCCTGACGCGGCTTGTCGCCTTCCACTGAATAGTAAGTAAATGTTCCAATACTTCATAGGGACGCCTATCCGCACAAGTGTTACGTGGAGAATATATTGATCGGCTGAGTCGAAGTCCAGGAATACAGCTGTTGTCGGCGTGCAGTGCGTCGCACAGCTCTAGCAGCTGCCGCAGGGTGAATATGTGGTAAGTAGAACCACCTCCTGGGTAGAAACATGCTTGCTGTTCCTTAATCAGGGATTCCCGTTCTGCAATGAGACGACGAACGAGAACTGGCGCTAATAATTTTAACAACACCGGCGTTAGGCTAATACACGGCCGAAAATGGTTATTGCACCAAATAGAGTAGTTGCTCTGTAAATCCGATCATGACAAGCCGCAACATGGTACCGCCGCTTGTGTTTATCTCTTCCGCTATAGTTGTGGAAGCAAGTACATTAGCCGAACTAACAGGGGACTATGCAACAGGATTTCAAAGGATATTCCGCGAAACATGGTCGCTAACGGTGCCAAACTACCTGCCAGCTCTAGTGCGTCAACATGCTAAACTGCAGTACGTACCGACGTTCACATAATTCGTCTAAAGTAGGTAAACTGCAGAGCAATGTCCGGTCGCTTCAATTGGCAAAAGCTTCAGCTGTTCGATGGCTGAAGACCAATATGTGCAAAAATACTGTACTTACTGGCAGGCTCGCATTATCTTGGTGAGGTTATGGATTGTTGTACTTTCGTACGCAAAACGATAATTTCACGGAATGTATGAAAACAACTGAGGAGAATACCCAAATTACCTAAATTAAGCGTATACACATAAAATACCTTTATTTGCAATTTTGACATGTGTGCAAGCAAATCATGCATGTAATGCTTCCGTGGTTAGCACAGTCGGTGCGACTGCCGTTATGGTATACTGCTGCTACAGTCGATTCACTCCAATTAGCCGGGATGGTCTCTTCCTGCCAGACCTGTTCGCACAAAGAGGTTAGTGCTTTGTAGAGGATCTCACCTTTAGCCAAAACACTGCAGGTTTAGAGGGAATAAAAGTCAGTAGCACGAAAATGACAGAGCAGTGATCACGTTTCGAACGTCAGCATCAAATGGAAACAAGCCAAACGTCCATGACTCATGCTGCATCACATAAGTTATAAAATGTCCGGATGCATGGGGCTAACTAAGCTGATCCGCCCAACGAGCCATACGGCGCTCTTTATGGTGGATCATGGCAGCCCAGCTGTTACTAATTGTCTAGCTGACGCCAGGTTTCCTGGGACCAGTGGTGTGCATCAGCTGGAAGAGCTTGCTATAATTGTCTTCTACTCCCGTCACTTTCATTTATGGAACCCGACTGGTCCACTAGGCTCCCTTGTCAGCTCGCAGGATTCGCTTTAGTTCGAGCCTAACCGCTCATTGAGTTAAATTTTGTTCAGGGCCAACCAGTAGTTTTCTACTGGAACCTAGCTGATTCATCGAGCTCTCGGATATCCAGTTCTTGGTGCGCAAACGAATGTTGGTACTACGAGCAAAGGTTCCCGCATTGTTAATGGCGGTCGAGATTAAATTACAATGAAGCTCTGCGTCAGCCGGACAAGAAAAATTTCGGAACGCAGAGCATCGCATTAGGTTTGCTTGACGCAAGATTGGAGTTAATTCTTTGTTGCCAATTGCGGGAGAAGCATGGTGTACCTCCAGGTAAAGCGCCAGAAAAAACGACAGCACCAAGCATGGCTGGAGTCGGCGGAAGTGTTCCGGAATGAACGACAGTCCAAGGTGGAACCAGACCGTATGCAACTTATGGCAATGTGCTCAATCTGGGTCCATCGCTGGCCAGCTACAGGAGGACGCCAAGTGGCACGTCGGCGTCTAATGTCTCCATGAACTGAGGAAATAAGAAACAGCTGCTGATACGCACGCACTTGCAACGGACACTCGCCGTTAACCGTCCGGTCGGAGTTAAACCCATAATTATCACCCATCTGAGCTTCTGAAGAGCTCAAACGCTCCACTTGTGTGTTCATATCCCCTGCAAGTACTATATCTCAACTAGTAGCACTGCGTAGTAGTGCGTTCAGTTCGTAAAAGAACGTGTCCTTGGCAGCATCAGGATTGCAGTCGGTGGCGGCATAAGCAGAGACCACAAACAAAGAACGCCTCGTACTACTACATGATGCAAGCCCACTTGATGTCCGCAGACGGGTTGCACACAAGCGGCTGTTCACCGGAATCCAAGCAACCACCGACGACTCAGTTTTGCTGCTGAGAATGATACCTACCTCAGCGTGACCCGTGAGTGCTGCATCAACGTCTCCGGATGCGTGCTACCAATAGCCAGAGCACAAGCCGGGAGCAGTTAATTCAACAATGCCAGAAGTGTCACGGATCCTAGTCTCGGACACACAACACACGTCAATATCCAGTTTGTCCAACATACGTGCGAGTGCAGCCTGTTGACCTATTTGTCTTAGAGTGCGAACGTTGAACGCCGCCAAGGAAACTGGACAGCTTCGCCTTATAAGGGGTTGTTACCGATAGGGCAGTGGATAGTGCAAGAAAGTAACTGCAAATAGTTCGACCCCAGTGGCATTATGAGTGCTGTCAATTAAGCTTGGAACTACAAAAGGTAGGTAATTAATGGGGTGTGCGTGGGGAGTAAGAGAAGCGAGTGGAAAAGAAAGAGGAGAAGCGCCAGTAGCAGCATGCTTTCGCTTGTGTGGCCTGCTGTATGCAGCAGATAATGCGACCCTTGATAATTTGCGGGACGGCCAATGCAGGATACAGTTGAATTTCGAGGAAATTGTCATGCTTGTATGTGGGTTGAGATACTGCCAGAGCGCACAGACCTAGACAGGAGGACGAGTGGTATCCTCATTCAAAGCCTTCGGCTCTAAAGCCTGTTCGTAAGGCAGCGTGGTGCTCGCAACGGTTAGTTTTACAGACATGGACCTCAACCCATTTCAAACCATCAACTTGGAGGATCAGGAGTTTGTCTGATTTCTAACTGTTGACCAACTTAGTAGGAGTGGTTCTCAAGGAGCCAGAAGTCACCACCCAGTATGGCTCAATGTGTCGAAGAGGTACGTAAACCGTCGCATAACGTCAAGTTCCAGTCTCATTGCGAAGGAAAAGTATAGAAATTGGCCCAAGTTAACTTGACTTGAGGTCTAAATCTGTGCAAAACCGGTAATGTAGTGTTGGAAGAGAGCAGCTTCAAAACTCATCACATAATGTTTACTTACTGTATGCCTCGCATTGTTTTCATTTGTTTTACGCGGAACTGCAAGTTGAGTACTTTCGGTAGCATTTTTATACTGTACTACACTAACGGAGGTACTATAATATCGGTTGAACGACATCGGTGGGACCAGTGCGCTGCCCGGGAACACGAGTCGGATCATCTACTCGTCAGTGCACAGTAATCATTTATCGATAAATACGATTACAATACCATGGTTTCTTAAGTACAAGTCATTTCGACTATTGCGCTGAAAACGTTTACTGGCCAAACCGTGCGATAGTCCAGGAAACCAGCTACATCTGTGATCTCCCTTGCCAAAGCAACTGACTATAAGTGGAACAGGCAAGCAAGATAGATTTAATAGTGAAGTCAAGTAGGGAAAACGTTACACGGAGGAAAACTCGGCTTGCGATGACAAGAGTATGTTTCTTGAGAAATGACAAAAACGGATAGGGAAAAACAAGCAAATAAGTAATGGGAGGAGAGAAAACATAAAATGGATTTGATATTGCACATTAAAAATGAGGCAGGAAAAGAAGGAATAAAAAAGCGCTTTATGTTTAAAAGAAGACAAATAATGCCGTCTGCAATGCATCTCATGAAGCGTAAGCAACAAATACAAGTGGCAATGTATCACAGGAGCGGGAGAAACCGACTAAAAGCCATATGAATAGACGACAGTAGGAGAGTAGGCAAGTACACTGGTATCGCCGTTCAACATGTGTGAGGGGCGCAGTCAGATCGTGGCATTGCAATCCAGAGAATGAGGGTCCGAAGAGAGTTTCCATACAATTGTGTGCGCTCCGGAGCCCATTTGACGCAGCTTGTTCATACCTTTCAACACGACGGCACCTGTGTGGTTGTAGCGACAAATGAGTAAGCGGTCGGACAAATGAAATTGGTCAGTGGGTAAACCGGGCAAAAAAAACTTACGGGGGCCGGAATCAACCATCGAGTGGGACGGGGAACTAGTGCCTGGTGGCAGGAGGTGCGCATAGTCGTGACCGACAGAAATAACTAACGTTTCTTGAACAGACTCGCTTGAACTGGGCTCTGTGAGAACAAGATAGTTAAAAAATAAACGGGGCGGCAAGATGTAGTGTAAGAAAACAAGCCATAAACCACTAGACTATAAGACGAACCGCACTCAATGGAGAAAAATAAAGAATAGTAATATTAGAATGTTCTTTCGGGTGAAAACCATTGAACTCAAAGCGGTTGGGCAAAATATAAATAAAAATACTGATTTCATTTAATAGTATGGATTTTGTAAAACAGATAAATTACTACATATATACACAGACGCAGAGATAATGGAAAGGTCATATTAGAGACAACGATGTTTGGTAACATAAGTACATTTATGCAAGGCTAGAAATTAGACTGCGATATGGTGTTAATGAATGTGGCATAGAGGGCATCAGTTAGCTCGGAAATATGCTTGAAGAAGATCGAATAAACACGAGTCACCAAGGTTCTAGAGACAAAAGTTACTTCTGGCCCGCGTTTTTCAGGGGATGCAGAGACTCAACCAGTGAGGTAAACGAGTATACATGTGATGCAATATACAAAAGCGAATGAGGATGGTAACCGGGATTGGCAGGGACTCGCCACTGCGCTAAAGCTGGGTGTTGATCAGCTAGAAGAGGTTGAGGAATGAAAGTATCTAGGCAGTTATGACAGTGCCAGTGAAATGGAAGATGACATTTGTTGTATCCTCGGTGTTACGACTAAGCGATTTCCTATGTTGCGCTTCGAGTGCCAAAAGTCAAAGCGCCGGATGAGTAGCATATCGGCGAACACAAAACGGGCCGCTGCTGGATGAAAACACACCGATACCGTACAAATCGCAGTTTTGTGCTCGTTGGAATTTATAGGTCTCAAAGAAACAAAGGGCGTGTGAGTGGCGTGAAACAAGTGACAATACCAAATGTCCTGTAACAGGGAAAACACTGATCTGATCGTAGCTGAGGCTGTTCTCATACAGAGCAAACAGCTGTTTGCGAATACTGAGCGCTGACCCTCCTGAAAATGTCAATTTGCTTCTGTTTTTCCACGCAAGTTACATGATTCGGCCTGAATCAGTGACGTTAACTCTGTGAAAATTTCCTCGGATTAGGTCGATCTAGTCTTAACAATATCACAAACCGTATCGCAAAAATTCGAGGCACTTTGCCAATCTCCACCACGTTTGACACCATTGCGACATCATTCTCGCTCTAAAGGGCAGAGTTTACCACGTAGGCGTCCGTTCAAGCACACTGTACGGTTGCTAAAATTGATACATCAATTCGACAGACAAAGAAGCTAGTCACGTTCGATGATTGCTGTGTTCGCAGTTTAACCTTTGTCTGGTGGGAACACGGCTTGAGCAATGAGCGCCTTTGATGTCGTATATTTGGTGCTGGAGGAGCGAGTTAATTGCTCAGTACCGTAAGATCACGCCTTAGCCGCCAATGGTTGGGTGACGTGTTCCGCATGCCGTGACGTGTATTGTTTGCGCGATCTAGGTCTGGATGGAATAGGAGGCAGAGCGATGACTGGGTCAAGAGGAATGAAATCTCTCACTTCGAACTTGGTGTCGCCTGACAACTGAGCTGGGGTTCTAAAAGCCATAAAGACTTTTTTGATACTCTAGTTGACATGACCAATATACGACTTCAATGACATCTGTGTTGTTTCTTTGTTCCTCCCTCGCTTACCTTCCATACAAGCCATGTTCTCAAATGTGATACCTAATATGATACTGCGGATTGTTCGTGGGTTGGAACACTTTCAAAATCAGTTCAGCTGGCCCCCTGCTCCCGGACCTCTTCCTACTCAGGTGATGCAGGACGTGCCATGGACGGTTAGTTTAGTCGGAGACCG